ATGTTATGGAAGGCAGGAAAGTCAAGTGGCAGGCCTGACCTTTGCAAAGGGAATTGGTGGTGACCTGGGTCTATGCATAGAGCTGTTCCAACAATGTCTTCTGTGTGCTTTCCTGCCATTTGGCAGATCTGAGCTGCCAAAATCCATATGATTTCTATATGGCAGTAAGAGATATAGTAGTAATAATTTTATTTAGCGTATGCTTATAACTAAAGGCGGTACAAGGAAATAAAAAATTATAGAAGTATAAACCAATATTGGCAATAAAACAATATAATAACACATGACCTAATAAAGGACTGTAGATTTCTTTTTATTTGATTTATATGGTGGCTCGTGCATAAACTGACGCTGGGCAGCCACCAATATTAAAAGCAAGAACGAAGATAACCCTTCAATAATAAAATCCAGAAAACACTTAGTTATATCTAATATCTGCTCAGACAGCGCCTGGCCCAGTGCCTAAAAAGAAGAGCCATGTTTTCAGGGCTTTTCCAAAGGCTATCAGGGTCAGGGCCATCCAGACCTCAGAGCAGACACAGCAACAGAGAAGCCACACTTCCAGGTCCTATAAGATGGCAATGTTTAATACAGTATATGGGACCTGGAGCATGCAACTGCAGCCTAATTTTGTTAGGTGGGCAGAGGGAACTAGAGACAGATGGTCACTCAATGATCCTAGCCCTGGGTATTGAAGGGTTTTATAGGTGACAACCAGGAGTAAAATTGCATGTGGAAGCTGATTGGTAACCAGTGCAGCTCACACAATAGTAATGGTCCATAGGTTTTCCAAGGCTTGCCTGTAACTATCCATACTGCTGCGTTCTAGACAGACCAGCTGTTGAGAGGTCTTCAAGGGCACCTCCATGTAGAGCATGTTACAGTAATCCAGGGAAGAGATCAGCACAGCATGTGTGATCATGAAGAGGGCCTCCTGATCCAGGAACAGGTGCAACTGCCACACAAGATGGATTTGTGTAAAGATCCTGCCAGGCATTAGCTAAGTCCAATGGGAACCTCTGACTGTGCACCAGTTCTGACTGGAGCAATGCAACTCCATCTAGAACTAGAGATGGAAAATCTGTGGGATTGGGTCAGAAGACCATCACAAGACCATGATCCCTCTCCCCCCCTTCTGTGTGGGTCAAGAAGGATACCATGATTGATGAAACGAAAGGCACCAAGAGGTCAAGAAGAGCTAGGATGGATGCAACTATCCTGAGCTCTCCATAGGTCATCATCAAGTGTGATCAATGCCCTGTCAGTACTATACCCAGGCCTAAAACACAACTGGAGGGGGTCTACGTGATCTGTTTCCTCCAGGGCTCTCTGAACCTGCACACTGACATCCTTCTCTACAACCTTCCCAACAAGGGGAGGTTGAAGGCCAGATGAAAGTTGTTCAGAACTGTTGTGACTACCTATGGTTTCTTGAGGAGGAGGCAGACTACCTCTTCCTTCAAGGCAGGTGAAACTACCTCCTTACTCAAGGATGAATTCACCAATCTATGGACCCAACCAAACACTATCTCTCAGGAAGCCTTGACTGAGCAGGAGAGGCATGGATTTAATACACAGGCAGCTGCACTCAGAGTTTTAAGGACCATGTTCACTTCTATCTCTTCTGTCATTTCATCTCCAAGAGCAATGCCCACATAGGAATCAAAGAAGGAGACAGTAGATTTTGTCCACAATAAAACTGATATTTGAGACTGTTTGTAATACTTCTGGTATTTCGATTCAAATATGAAATACCATACAGGGCAGGATAGAGGGTCCCTTATAATTCAAACATAAAGGGTCATTGAGAAGGATGGAGTTAAGGAAATAAATTCTGTGCATTGTTTTGGTAACCCCTTTCCCCTTTCCTTAATAATATGTTTCCCAGGGCCCAACTTCATCCAAGCCATGTTGAGAATAATCATACTATAGCAGATACTCATAGGTGGTGGTATTTGTTCCTCAAAAGGTGCTCCAGAAAAAATACACACACAAGGGGAAAGAGGAATTGGAGTAAAAAATGCAAAACAGCACCTGCTGTACCTATATAATAAAGGTTCAGTGTGCATTTGGCTTCACAGGAGGTATATATATGCAGGCTCCCAGGTGACTATGTCATATTTGTAATAAAATCATACTTAACAGTTCAGTTCCTAGTTGAAATCCCCTCTCCCGTCGCAAATGATCATAGTGACAGTTACCCATTCTACGGTTTCAATGAAGTAAAGAATGTTGCGGTGCTGAAACAGTATTGTGCTGAACCAAATGTTTCTGAGGTCCTACAGGAAGAGTAAGAATGAAGAAAACCAAACATCGGATCTGTTCATTGTGACACTGTGATCTGTCGCTATAGTTGCCCTTCTCTCTTGACCAGAGAAAGAAGTTCCTGTGAAAATTTCTCAGAGGTACAATGTCTCTGCAAGGTTGAACAGGTGGGCTTCCTTAGGTGGACTTACTGACCTCTGAGAGGTTGTGCTTGTTCATTCTGCTCCAGCCATTGCATGGAAGTTCCCGCTGATGGCTGAAGATGGACATTCCTCATCTGCTGGCGCTGGAACTCTCCAACAGCATGATGTGTGCATCTTATGTGCATCCCTCACACTTCAGTGTAGTGTGGGCAGTCAGCCACACTTGATATGGTCCCTATCCACCTCAGGGCAAGGCAGTCCTTAAATTAAATTCTACAACAATATAGCTTCTAGTGTTGGTTTGGTTTGCTCTTAAATTTATAGTCTTGTGTACTGATCTGGCACATGGATGCATTATATATTTATAATGAAAACCAAAAATAACAGAAAGAAAGGTACAGTGAAAAGTGCACCGGATTACATAAAACAATATTAAGAATCTAAGCATATTATATAAATATCATTGTATCGAAATAACATATTGTACTAAAACTGAGAAGATGGAGCAATAGATGGTTTATATGATTAGATTTAATAAAGGTTGGGCTAGTTCAATGTTAACATTTTATGGATATACTTTTAGTTTCTACAAATGTCATTCACTTATTCATTATTCTGTATTTTTTTTCTGATTTTATTAGCCCTGCTATACTTTTGGTTGTACGTTATCGTATCTTCTGGTTGTTATAATTACCAATATGATTTAAAAAAAGAAAGCATAGCGCACAGGAATAACACATAGGGAGCATTTCTCTTGATTAGGCTCCTTTGAACGCAGCCTAATCCTAAACACCTAACAAGCTTTAATTCTGCCACTTAGAAAAGAATTGCAGCAGTTAAAAATGAATATACATTCTCTATTTCAAATGATCCCAGTGTTTACTGAGTATCAGGTATTAAACAACTGGCACAGAAAATAATGAATTATATATGGTCTAATAAAAGGCCAAGGATTACATTCGAGAATTTCCCAGATTCCAAAGAACGTGGTGGTCTAGCAGCTCTGAACTTCAGATTGAACTATTGTACCAGCTGTCTAGTGAGGATTTCAGAATGGATGATATTCTCTTATGGCGAATGTAAGAGAATATCATCTATGTACGGCATAGTTACGAATGGAGCATATTGTAGCAAAATTCGAGTTAAATACACAATGATTTGAGTTAAATACACAATGATTTGAGTTCATTACATAATACTACTTACACAGTATTATACAATAATACTGTTCTGGCTTACGTATACATTTGACTTAAGGATAGACTTTGGGAATGGAACTCATTATTAAACTGGGGACTACCTGTATTAAGTAACATCAAATGTTTGGGATAAATACAGGAAAATAAAAATCCAGATTTCTCCCCTCTTCCTTCATTACTGAATGCCTATTTTTATGAAGAAGAAAGACTAAGAAATTTGCTTGGTGAAGAGACAACAACTTGTTCAGACTGCAAGATTTTATTATTAATAGGATAAAGTTAAAATCCTTCAAGTCTCTTACTACACGTGTTTTACTATACTTGTTTCAATATTTTCAAATAAGTAGCAACAAAAGAATTACAGAAACAAGGGGGGAATATTGAGAAACTTAACTGAATTCAAAAGTCATATAATACATCCTGTAATGCCAAACATTTGCAAAGCACAATTTATAATTTATTAGTGAAATATGACTCAGAACCCAAACAAGTTATATGCTTAAATAGATGCAGAATCTGAATATAGTTACAGAGAGAGAACAATAGGAATTTCAATAGAAAAAGAACATTAAATTTACTTAAAATATTGGTACGAGACATTTTATCACTGGCATATCCCTCCAGTCTCAATTGTTAAAATGAGTAATTTTTTCCTGAATGATGGCAGCAAAATTGGAGTTCATTGATAGAGTTAGAGTCAGACTGGGGTCATAAACTATTGAACTTGCACCCCTCAAAAGAACAAGCCAACAAGCTCTGTGGTTAAGCTTGCAAAAGAGTTGAAACAGGAAGATATTGATCAGGTGTGAAGTTACCTAGAAGAAGAACAAGAGCAGAGATGTAGATGTATATTCAGATAAAGCCTAAAATAAAGATGTTCTAAAACCACTAAGTGTCCCAGATACAGAAAACCACCAGTTGTCATGGACACAGACACATATGGTTTGAAAAGGTGTTATGATTATGGAATGTTAACTATTACGTACGCATGCAAAACTAAGTGACCAATCACGTAATCTCTGATTATGATGCTGTTGTTGAAAAGGTATAAAAGATTTATGCTTTCTATTTTTGGGGCTCTCTTCTTGGGAAGGAGTCCTCAATTACTAAGGTTACTTAATAAATGAGTAACTGAGTTTCTCCAGTCCAGTCTTTCATTGGGTTAAAGGGCTGGGCTGAAAACCACGATTTGTGGCCAACATGAAAAATGCTAGAAATGTAATGAACAGGTGGGATCCTTTTTTCATAGGGTTGATTTTTTTATTAAACTTCACTAAGTTTACGTTACTTTACATTACATTACACACAAGTAGTTCACAATAAAAACAGAACTAAAAGACATAATACAAAACTGTATGTAAAAGGAAAAAAATACAGCTGTGAACCAAGAGTGTTAGTTCTTCTTCATTACTCTTCGAAGAGCTTTGTGTACCTCCTTGTTCCTCAGAGTATAGATCAGTGGATTAAGCATGGGGGTGACAAAGGTGTAGAAAAGGGAAATCATCTTGCCTCGATCACGGGAGTAGTTGGAGGGAGGCTGGAGATAACTGAAGATGGCTGTGCCATAGAAGAGGGACACCACCAACAAGTGGGAGGCACAAGTGTTGAAGGCCTTCCGCCTGCCTTCAGCTGAGCAGATCCTCAGCACCGCAGCCACAATGTAGCCATAAGAGATTATGATGAGACCCATTGGTGCTAGAAGGAACACCACACCAGCAGAAAAGAGAACAGCCTCATTCAGTGAAGTGTCAGCACAGGCCAATTTTAGAAAGGCAGGGACCTCACAAAAGAAATGATCTACTCGATTCCGTCTACACAATGGAAGCCTAAGAGTCATCACTGTCTGAATGACAGAGCTGCTGAAGCCACTCACCCAGGAGACAGCAGCCATTGTGAAACACAGAGAGTGACTCATCATGGTAGTATAACGCAGTGGATGACAGATGGCAGCATAGCGGTCGTAGGCCATGACAGCCAACAAAATACACTCTGTGCCGCCCAGAGAAAGAGAGATGTATAACTCAGCCACACAGGCACCGTAACTGATGGTCTTCCTTTTCCTCCAGAAGTTCACCAGCATCTGGGGCCCAAGACTGGTGGTGAAGCAGAGATCAAGGAAGGAAAGGTTGCTGAGGAAGAAATACATGGGGGTGTGGAGATGGGGATCTAATCTTGACACCACAATGATGGTTGTGTTGCCTAGGAGGGTCATCAAGTAGCAGGCCAGGACAAAGACAAAGAGGAACATCTCCAAGCGTGGCCGGTCAGCCACTCCCAGCAAGATGAATTCTCCCTGGTAGCTTTGATTACTCTCTTCCCACGAAGTTTCCCTGTTCATTGTCTATACACATTAGAATAAGTAATGAAATAGAAAAAGAAACCAGTATAAACAACGGATAGGATCAGAGCATTCCCGTATTTGGAGTGTGACTTGAACCTTGTCCCCAGTAATCTACATTCAAGCTGAATTAGTGGGCTCTACTCTGTGAAAACTATTGGAGGTCCAAATCTAATGGCACGGCTTTCTCAGCACCTCATGACTTACACACCACAACACTCACAAATATGTACACCTCCAACTCCAGCAGCAACAACAAAATTATTACATGTGTGAATGTAAACCAGAATCATATTGTATGAGAAGTGAATATGCTGATAGTAGGACGTGAAACCTTGTATCTGGCTACAGAAATATTGGGCAGAACAACATAATAAAGACTGTAACGCTCTGATCTCTGATGGAGATGCACAAAGGTGTAATTATTTATTAATTCAATATATTGGATCAATCATTTCCTCTTCCATTGTGTTCTCAGCCAGCTTTCCAGTTCCCACCTTCCCATTCTCTTTACTGGACTGCATCCCACATCCCACC